AAATCCTAAAAGTATACAATTTAGTCCGACTGGGCCCACAGTGTAATGACCAAGGACAGACACTCATAATTTAGTTTTATTGAACAGTTTTGTCTGTTGGTGCATGCGTTTTACGGAGCTCACTGAAAACACTTTCAAACGACGCCGATGCATGCGGATGTACGCAAAGATTTGCGGCTCACTTATAACTTATTTGAGCTGAAAAATATTAAAACGCTTCCATCCGTTTCTATTACACTTGTAGACGATATGGAGGCATGAAAGAGCAGAAAAGAATGATATTTCATGATGAAACTAATGAATTGCATCAGCAACGCTTATCAATACTATGATAGTTTATCTCTAAACCAGCAGTAAATTGATTTTATTCACTCTAGTTATATATAACTGTTCTATTTGCTGTTTAAGGAAATATACGATCAGTATTGATTGCAAACAGTTATATTATTGAAAGTCATTAAAAGTAATATTGAAATTATCTGAACGTTCTTTTGATTAAATTGTTTATGTTCATCACAGTTTGATTGTAAATTGATTCAAAAGTATAACTTTATTCTAAAAATTTCATTTTTCTCGAAAACGATAACTAAGCTCACTAGCTTCAATTTTCTATAAGCTACGTACTAGAATAGCTTTGAGGTATTTCAAGTTTAAATCATGATTTAGTACACATATTGACATTTGTAGCAAATTTTCGATTAATCAAAAATATTTTTGTTCAAATTTAGTTTTGGAATTGAAAAATTTATTATCATTTAGTATGACCACTTTGTTAAACGATTTTTTATATTCGGTAAGTCTCACTCCTTGTGCGTATGTTCAGTTTCTTAAATTAGTCTTTAATCATTTGTTATTTTTGCAATATTAGGATGTATTGGACTTTGCTATATTCTCGCGTGTTGATCATTTGGGTAATGCAAACGTATCAAACTTGTGTCGTAGGCTCATCTTTATGCGAAATGGACTAAATAAGTAAATATTAAATATTTCATTTTGAGCAAATTAGTCGATATTTTAAATTTTAATCTTTTGGTAAATTCTTTTATTATTGTCAAACAGTGATTATTCGGTGCGACATTCCAGTGGTATTGGTATTCCAGTGGTATTGGAAAAATCGGAAGATGTTAATGAAAAAATGTTTGCAGCCCAAATAAACGATGAAATTGAACAAAATGGTTATTGTCGCTTGAACGCAGACTTTTTAAATGCCGAACATTTGAATTTCAATCGGCCAGAATCTGAATTGCCAGAAGCAACAAAAGCATTCCTAATGTTCTTATTGAATGCATATATGCCGACTGGAATACTTAGTATTGATCAACTTGATGCCGCTAAAAATATTTTAACATCGATCAAAAATCAATTGGATAGTGGAAACATTCCAGATGTACAATTATCGAAAGATTTTTATCAAATGATACCATTTACTGGAATGTACATTATCAACAGCCACGAAAAATATTCAACTAAGCTGTGTGTTATTGAAAAGTTGAGATCCGCATTGAAATCACTTTCGGCCGGCATTGGTAATCCATTGGATTATTTTAAAACCAATTGGCTTCAAACTCAAATTGAACATCTAGATCGAAAGAGTGAAGAATTTCAGAAGCTTAATCTGTGCATTGAAAGGACAATGCATCCGAACAAACGATCGTTTATTCTTCGAAACATATTCAAAATTTCATCTGAAGCGGATAAAAAGTTTGATCCCAACCTAAAGAATCACCATCTGTTGATTCATTTCACTTTACCTTGTAATATTTTGGGTATTTTACGTGAGGGAATGCTGGTTGCGCCAAATCATGTGCATAGTAAGAATCGATATTACGGAAGAGGAATTTATTTCTGGGATGCCGCGACAGTTGCACTTGATGCTTATCCAAGTGAACGCGACAGTGATAATTCAACAGGCATCAAATCGGCTATTTTGTTGGTGTGTCGAGTTGCCTTGGGAGACGTGCAAGAAACCAAAACTGATATGAAAGAAGGAGAAGAATTCACCCACGAACATGATAAAAATTCTCTTTTAAGACCTGGTATTTATTCTGAATCTCGAAAAAAAAGAATGAATATAAATGGTGCAACAATGTTCTGCGGCCAATTAAATGATTTTACAAAACAGGCGGGAAGAAAATGCGATTGGTACAATTTATATTTGGCGCGAACGAAGGAACAAGTTAAAGTAGAATATATTTTGAAATTTGATAAAATCTAATTTTTTGTTATTCAAATAATAAACACGAAATATTACAATAATATCACAAAATATGGCTTTGATTCGAGCCAATAAGAAGAATATTTATTTTTTTAAACTTTGAATTTCAATCAATAAATTTCGAATATTTTATGTAAAATTGTCAAATTATAGAATTGCAAGGAGATTTTGTTCGTCGAGTTTTGCGCACATGATTTTTTCATTGAAATCTAAACTATATGTTTATAAGTCTATTAGTATAACTCAACAAAAATCAATAAAAACTGATTTAGATTTGTGAAAAAAAAAATCATTGATCAGCTTGTAGCAAAAATCGAAACATTTTTTTCTATTCTATGATTTTCTATGTAAATAAGTTATCTACCCAGCAAACAATTGATAGGGAAAATGCATCCATTATGAAGCACATATTGACGGTCGTTTTCGGGGTTAGATTCGTGTGTAGT